AAATTATTGTGCTAAATGATAATATTGTTGTTTTCAGTCCATTTTTAACCCTTTTCATGACAATGATCAAAAATTAATAAACTTTAATTTCTACTGAACAAATAACAGTGGAACTGGAAGACATTTTAAATATCCAAAATAAACAAAAACAATAAATAAAATGGGAATAAAAATAAAAACACAACTGAAAACATAAATATATTGAATCAAAATCTCTGTACAAAAATTATCCTTCAAAAAATATTCATCTTTAGGCTCAGACAGGAAAAACGGTCAGTTAGGATTTTAACTTTTAACTGCAAATGCAGCTTTTATGGTCAATTCTGGGCAATAAAACAAAAGATTTAGGTCACTTTTATCAAAAAGTATATAAGCAATTTTAATAAATTAATGGACACCAGATGTGTTGATCAAGAGGAAGCCAAAAGCCTGAACTTTAATATTTTGTGTTTTAACATTTTCTGAGTTTTCTGTCAGAAATTTTCCCTGGTTAAAACTAAAAGGCCTCCTTGTTCGTCTCCAGGCTAATCAATGCGATTGTTTATGTTCAGAACCTCCTGTGCAGATTATTGGGAACTCTGGGAACCCGGAGCATCATGTGATGGTAACAGGAGACGACCTCATCCTGGAGTGTGAAGTTTCCAGACCGAACGCCGACGTGGAGTGGACGCGCAACGGAGAGGCTCTCCAACCGAGCGACCGGATTCGGATCGACAGCTACGGCGTCGTGAGGAAGTTCGTCCTCTCCGGGCTCCAGCCCTCAGACTCTGGAGAATATGTCTGTGAAGCCATCGATGACAAGCTGGTCACAGTGGTGGAGGTTCAAGGTAAATCAGAACGTTCCTTCTAGGTCCTTAAAGCTGCAGCTACTTTTACAAATAAATGTTTTTTACAGTTTATAAGAGAAAATCTGTGAAAAAATCAATTTCTCCTTAGCCGCTACTACTGCCTTAAGAAATGCAAACAACCAATCAGAGCCGGGAGGAGGGGCTTAGCGCTGTCATCTGTTTCAACAAATATGTAAAATAAAATATCTTTTATGTTTTCAGTTGCATGTTAGGGGTTGCAGCTTCATATCTTTTTGCTTGAATTCTTTGAGAAACTTGTTTTGTGTCTCCCTCAGATCCCCCAGCCAAGTTTCTTAATAAAAAAGGAAAGAATAACATGGCAGCTTATGAGAATGAGAGCGCCACATTGTGTGCCGTAGTGAGCAGCGACAGAGCTAATGTCCGCTGGCTGAAAGACGGCCAGCTGTTGAATAAGGACAACATTCATATCTCCAGTGAGGGTAAAACTCATAAGCTCACCATTAATCCTCTGCAGCTGTCAGATTCTGGAGAATATGTCTGTGACGTAAGCACGGATGAAATGTATTTCAGTCTTTTAGTCGAAGGTAAGAACGCCCTCTGCTGTGACCTTTACCCTGACCTGCTTGTTAAATCTTTATAATTGTGATTCCTTTGTTTGATTTGTTTTTTCAGAAATGAAGGTGAAGTTTGTCAAACGTCTGGAGAATGTGATCTCTCTGAAAGGTAAAACTCTTACCCTGCAGTGTGAGGTGAACAAGCCCAAAGGAGACGTGCAGTGGCTAAAAGACGGTAAGGAGATGACGCCAAGTCGCCGCTGCACAATACGAGCCCAAGGCCGGGAGCGAAGCCTGACCATCCAGCAGCTGACGGACAAAGACGCTGGAGAATACGTCTGTGAATCCACAGACGACCAAACAGCTGCCACTGTCAGCATCGAAAGTAAGTCACCTTCATTCCTCAAACTCAAGTGATTAAAGGTCAGAATAGATCTACAGGCCATACAAAACATGTTCATTACATTTTTTTGTTTTGCTCAGAATTACATAATAGAAAATGAGGTTTTAGTTGTTTTAGGGCGTCCTGTCACTTTAAATCCAAATAAACTGCTGCTGTCCATGCATGTCCAACACCTACACTCTCACATAACAATGGCTGCAAGATGCACAATTATACAACCATATGTCTTTGAAAAGCATTACTAGAGCCTTCTGTGCAACCGAGAATGCAGGAAATGGCTTCTGTACGGTAAGTCAACAACAAAACACTTCACTGCAAAAACACAAACTCTTACCAAACATTTTGGTTTGCATAACATTGATGGAACAAGTTCTAATTACTAGTGAAATAATCTGCCAGTCCTTTTCCCATCAATATCAAGGAATTATTGGGTTAAAACAAGCCAATAATATCTTCCTGAAAAGTTAATTGTAAGTTAGTCTTGTCTTGTGAACTAAGTGAACTAAGATATTTGCACTAGAAACTAGACCAAATACTTGGTAAGATTTTGTGTTTTTGCTGTGCAGCAGCCATTGTGCAGTGGTAAAACCAGCTGGCAAAACGTTTTGGAGCTCAGCTTGGGTTGCTAGGTAACGGGGCAGAACTCTGCTGAGGTTGCTAGGCGACGAGCCAGGCTTAACTGGGGTCATTAGGTGAGGGGTCAGTTCCTGGTGATTTGTAATGTTGCATTTCGAAGGTTTTGTTAACGGCTCGTTTTCCAGACACCAAAAATCAACAACAGGCCGAAAAACAGCTGAGTGGGTATTTTTAAAGCTTGTGTTGTTTTCGGGAGCAGTAGAAACCCAAATGGAAACACAAAAATGTAAAAATGTGAAGTCTGTGTAATACATTCCTTTTAATGTTATTTTGTACTGAAAATGTGAGAGATTATTAACGATGATTTCCAGCCCCCCGTGTCGTGGAATTCATCGCTGAGCTGCGTAACATCACCATCCGTGAAGGGGAAGATGCCGTGTTTAAGTGCGTGGTCTCGCCGGCCGACACCGCCCTGGTTTGGCGTCTGAATGGAAAGGACGTCGCTCTGAACGAGCGTGCCGCCGTCTCCTGTAACGGCCTGTGCCACATGCTGTGCATCAGCAGCTGCTTGGTGTCAGACAGCGGCAGGGTGACGGCTGACGCCGAGGGGCTGGAGTCAGAGGCGGAGCTAACGGTCCAAGGTGGGCTCTTCATGACTCATAACAGACTGTCTGCTTTTCTACTTAAACATTTAGCTCCTCTGGCCCTTAGCAACAAAAAAAGTTTTAACTTATACTATGGTGCATGGAAGAGGAAAGGGGGCAGTTATGCTAGCTTGACTTTGACCACCTTGACATGCAGATGTGGTGTGGAATTCAATGTGTTTCGGTTCATTTGAAAGGTAAATAAAAGGCGACCTACACACCAACTCTGACAGATCATCAGTAGAGCAGGTGTTTAAATTAGCTTATCAACCACCGCTGTGTTAGCTTAGCATTAGCAGTGGTAGCTAATCTACTGCAGCAATCACTGATTAATAATTGTAAAATAAACATCAAGCCTGAAAACATAAAACTGAATGTGCTGGCTTTGTGTTTTTTGGTGTTGAATCCTGATACATTAGTGGAGCTGTTGTCAGTCAGTGGCTATGGCAACTGGTCTGTCACTGAGAGGGAGAAAAAAAAGAAGAATGCTAAGGCTAGTTAGCATAGCAACCAATCACTGTGAACTAACGGTTTTCCTGTACGGTAAGTTGTTTCTCTGCCATTAGCACGTTGAGCACATGAAATTGATTGACAGCGCTATGTTGTGTTCAGATTTTCATTTCCATTTTATTTATTGTTTTTGGTTGTTTTGGATATTTAAAATGACTTCCAGTTCCACTGTTAGTTGTTCTGTTAATTGGCTCTGATTGGTTGTTTTTCTTCAGCAGATCACTTTATTTCACAAATGATCTGTCTCAAAACAAACTGCCACTACATGGTGACAGTTCTTACAAATATGAAAATAAAAGTTACATACCGTAGCTTTAAACACTTAAATGTTAGAGGCTGCTGTCCTGTAATCTGTGTTTGTGGTTTAAAGAGCAACAGGCGCTGTTCACAAAGAAAATGGCTGCAGTTGTAGCTGAGGAGTACAGCGAGGCGACTCTGGAGGTGGAGGTCAGTCAAGAGGCGGCGGAGGTCCAGTGGATGAGGCAGGGGATCCTGATCCACCCCGGCGCCAAATACACCCTGAAACACAGGGGCCGGTCCCACAGCCTGACCATTCACCAGGTGGCCGCGGCGGACCGGGGCGCCTACAGCTGTGAAACCCTCCACGACCGGACGCAGGCCCAACTGGCCGTGGAGCGTGAGTGTTCTCGTGTTCTCACTATGTCCTGTTGCTGTTTGTTTACCACCGTTACCGACAACTCCCCCTGCTTCTGAGGGCCGCTCTTAATTAGCAGTAATCTGAGTTTACTGGGAACAGAGGCAGCATGTACTGGGATGGAATGGCAACCAACAGGTGACATCCCAACCAAACACAAGACGCAGAACAAGGTCGGCGTAAACAGACTCAAGCACTGCAAAAAACACCAAATCTGACCAAGTATTCTTGGTCCAGTTTCACCTTCAAGCACTTAAGATAAACTGAATGTAGCTGCTTATTTTAAACTAATAATTCTGTAATATTGATGAAAAGGTTTTAGTTCCACTGGTAGAATATTCTACTTATGTCATAATCAGCAGCAGTGCGCCGTTGCCTAGCAACCCCAGCCAAGCCCAGCCCGGTTACCTAGCAACCCAGTTCTAGTTCCACTGGCGGAAAAATGTCTCGATTGAAGCCTCATAACGTAACTTTTCTGTTGTGATGTTTTATTTTATTTACTCATTACTGTTATTTTATTATTACTTTTTGTTTGTACTTTGGTGCCGTTTGAAACCTATTTTTAAAAAATGCTATAATAAATAAATTTGACATGTTATCAGCTAAATAATCAGCCAGTGAAACAAGAACTTTCTAATCAGTATTAAAGAATTGTAGACTTAAATCAAGCTTATATATTTGCTGAAAATTTGCTTCCAAGTTCAATTTAGAACGTAGAAGCAAATTAAACTAATTTCCTAGTTTTTATTACTTATTAGTTTTAGTTTAGTGTTTCTTAGCTATAGTAGTATTTTTAGTTTTTACACACTTTGGTTTATTTTTAGGTGTGGAATTCAAAAAGGTCAAAGTATTGTGATTGTTTGCATCGATTGGGTAATGAAGACTACAGAAAATATAATTTTCAATTCTTGGACAATCAGCTGATGTAAACTGCTTGAGTGGGGAAGAAAATCAATTTCAGTTCAAAAGGCTAATAAAAAGATTCACGAACATGAAGGACATTATGTGAATGATTTTAAGTGCACTGAGACATTTTCGGTAGAAACTAGTCCAGAACATCCTGTTGTTTCTGTCGTTATTGTCCTCCGTAAAGATTTTCTTGGTGACGTAAAACCTGGTTGACGTTGAGGCTCTGTTAAGCATCTTGTGGTAATTAAGATGCACTTATTCTAGGGTTTCCTCCTGCTTCTGCTGCCCAGGCTGCGGTCTGCAGGCGAGTGGCTGAATTAAAGGCTGCTCTTTCAACACTTGTGCAGGTGGGAAGGGGAAAGTTGGGACTTCGGGCCGCTGTTGGCACATCCTGTGAATTTTGATCTACTCTCACTGCGTCTAAATTTACACCCTGGCCTTCAAAACTAAGGTTGTTGTCATCAGGTCTCCAAAATAAACACTCATTTTTTCCACTGGGAATGTTTGTGTATGCCACAATAAGTGAAGAAACTTGGCACTTTCAAACCTGGATTTAGTTTGAGGCTCAGTGGCTCGAATGGCTGAAATCAGCCAGCTGAACAGAGTCCAGACCCATTGTGTAGAAAGCAACACCATTCCTCCGTCCCCCGGATAACTTCCTGTCTGTTGTTGCCCCACAGCGCGAAAAATCAGCATCAAGCGTGGGCTGACAGACATTAAGACCACAGAGAGAGAAACGGCGTCCTTTGAGGTGGAGCTGTCCCACGCCAACGTCCCGGGAACCTGGATCCGAAACGGGATCCAGCTGAAGCCGACCAACCACTTCCGAATGAGCGCCAAAGGGGAAGTGCACAGCCTGACCATCTCCAACCTGTCGGTGGAAGACACGGGCAGCTTTGTGTTCAGCGTGGAGAACCTGAAGACGTCGGCTCGGCTTGTTGTGAAGGGTAGGAAACCCTCAGGAAGGCCAACAGATCACCACCTTCCTAAAATACTTCCCAACACTTTTGGCGCCTAAGATATCTTTTGGAAAGAAAGAAGTAGGGATTTTGGCAAAGAAATTACTACCTCTTCATTTCCAAAACATGTTTCAGGCAACAAAAAAAAAAAAAAGATATTTTTGGCAAAAATGACTTTAGGAAGGTGACAATATTACACAAAGAGGACGCATGTAGCTTGAAGCTAAGTAGCCATGTTGCTCTGAACCATTTAAATAAACAGAAATTTGACTTTTCTAGCTTCTTAAATGTATTTCTGGTCATGGGTCTGGAGTTTATTTCCTTTAAAAGGGCAGTACTCTGTCTTTGTACCATTTTATAGCACAATCAAGTCAATTCAGAAAATACTCTACGTATCAAAGATGACTTAAAAAAATTTACTTTGATATTTATCGCCTTGAAATTGGGTCTCTGTTTCTTTAAGACTTCCTGCTCTTTCTGAATCTCCGCCTCCAGGAAGTCATCCCAACATGGCTCCTCTATTACCCCTTTAACAACGCTTTTACCAGCCTTCATCTGAGAAGTGGCTCCTATAATGAGCTCAGCAGGTGTTTGCTAATTGCTGCTGGCTAGTCTGAAGGAGCTGAGAGGAGGAGGAGCTAAAATCTATGAATACTTGAGGCAGAGAACAGTTTATAGCTGCCTTTTTTATTAGTTCAAACCAGAAGCTAACATCCTTGGTCTTCCTCATGTCCAATATTCAGGCTTCAGCCAATCAGCAGCCAGGATTGGCTGCTTTTCAAACGCCAGCCAGTAGCAGGTCCTGTAGCATTGCTGCTAGGTATTTCAGCTAACCAATCAACTTTTAAAGAATATTTTAAACACGTTCTACGAACATATCCACAATTAGGTACGTTTTCCATAAAACAAATTAAAAAAGAACATATGGAAAAAGTCAGAATGCAATAAATAAAGATGCAAACATTAAGTTGTTTTGTTATAAAATGATGTAAAATGGTTCTTATGGTGTTTTTAGTTGATGCATCCAGTTCCTGGCTTACCTGCCAAGCCGTTTCACACCTGTCAACACAACGACTGACCTCATTTAAAGCCACAAAGCGACCTCTGTCTCCCTCATCAGCTGGGAATGCCTCTATGTCTGATGACCTTTACCCTCAGCTGACTGTCTGATGCTCCGGAAACTGCCTGTGATGTGACCTCTGGTCCTATTCCAGGCATAATGGCAGTTTTACGTGTCCATCAATATAGGATTATGGGGAGCGGCAGCCGTTAGAGGGAGCGGCAGCCGACACAGGGAACGGCAGCCGTTAGAGGGAGCGGCAGCCGACACAGGGAACGGCAGCCGTTACCGGGAGCGGCAGCCGTTACAGGGAGCGGCAGCCGTTCCCGGGAACGGCAGCCGATACAGGGAGCGGCGCCGTGCTGCTGCCGCCTTCATCCAGGCTCACGTTACAAAGAAAATAACCAACGAAACGCTTCGGCTCGACGCCGTCGATCTGTTCTCACTGCGTACGCGACGCATGCGGATGACATGCAGAGGATCAGCCCAAAAACGCCGCATAGATCAGTTAACATGAATATATAAATATGTTTTTGTTGTTTTAATAAGTGATTTTTTTCTTCTCCAGAGCCTCCAGTGACCATCATCAGGAAGCTGGAAAACCAGAAAGTTCCTGACGGGTCGGTCATCTCCTTCGACTGTGAGCTGTCCAGACACAACGTTGACGTCAAGTGGATGAAGGTCGAGATTTTCTCCTGCTTTTCCCTTCAGAAGATAAACACACACACACACACACACACATATATATATATATATAATTTTCATTTTTGTATGAATTTTTGAAAATTCAGTAAAATGTCCAAAGATCTTTGTTTTTCTCATTGAGACTCAGTTACATAAATAAAGTTGACTTTAAATTAGTTAAAAAGTTATAAAAATGTACAATTTTATGCTAAGTTAACTTGATTGATGATGGTTAAATTAAAAAAAATTATCTTCATTTTTTATTTTAATAACATTTAAAGGCAGTTAAGCCTTTGAATACTGACCAAGTTAAAAAAAAGAAGAAATACAACTCTGAATTTTTACAGTAGTTTTGGTTCAGTAAACGGTTTGTTTTCTGCAAAACATTTAGGAAATTTAAAGAAACAAATTAAATTAAATTGTCTGAATCAAAAGTCTGCAATATTTTTAAAGCTGTTTAAAGTTGCAAAAAGGTACCTAATAGTGAAATTTGTTGTCATTTTTAAAGATCTGCTATGTTTTTATATTAAAAGAATTTAAAATAAAGACATGAAACATCAAATTTAGCAAAAAGAGGATGGATCTTTTTTTTTACTGTGGGATGAAAAATTATGTAAAAATTAAAAAAGCAAACAGAAGCCGACCTACTAGGACTTTTAGTGTCATTCTTTCTGGAAGTTCAATGCAGGAATAAACTGAAAAAAACATTAAAAACTTGTGACTTTGTCTAAGAAACATTATTTCATCTTTGTTCTGGATCAGTGGTGTCCAAACCTTTTACCTCAAAATCTGTCAAGTTGATATTTCAAAGTCTTTTAATTAAAAATTGAAGCAGAAAAAGCTTGATGTTTAATTTTTATCTGCATAATATTTTAATAAAATGAAGAATCTTGAATTAAAAAAGGAAACAGTAAATCTGAGACTTCTTTAACAATTATATCTTAAATATTTGTGTTTTTTCTTTTATCTTTGGATTTGTTGTGTTTATTCTCAGCAAGAAGATGTTTATTTCTCTAAAAGTCTGTGGTTTTGTTCACTATGAGATTAAATTAAATAATTAGGAGACTGTAATTTTTTCAAATTTCACTGAAAGACTTTTTAAAAACTGCATCACCCTTCAATCCTGAGCTGGAAAAAGAAATTTGTGAAAACTTTTGTACTGTGGTGAAGGACCAAACAAAATCACTTTGAGGGCCAGAAATGGCCCACGCGCCGCACGTTGGAAACCCCTGCTTTAGAACTGTGTGAGCAAATGAAGAAACTGCTGAACTATCTTATCCTTTGCAAATAAATGCTGACTAAAAGGAGAATAAATGTCTGCAGTCGTCCATTAAACTGTTTCCTGTGGAACAATAAACAACTGAACAGGAAGTTTAACCGTTTTTATTTTTCTTTCAGGACGGGGTTGAGGTGAAGCCCTGCAAAGACGTGCGTATTTATGCGATGGGAAGGAAGCGCTTCCTGCAGATAATGAAATGCAGCGCCGCAGACTCCGGCTTGTACGCCTGCGACGCTGGTGATGCTGCCACTTCCTGCGCAGTGGAGGTTTACGGTAACGCACCGTTAAAAACCTGCATTTTATAAATCGTGATTGTTCAACAGGCTGAATTAGCTTCATTTAAACTTTATGAAGATATGTGAGATTATTTTATTGTTATATTGAAAAAGATACAAGATCATGTAAAATTTTCCTATATTAGCTCCTGTAGTAAATAAGATGTAATATCTGTTGTGTAGCACACCACTGCCCTCTATTGGCATCTGTCAAGTATTACACTTTATATGTTTTTATAACTAGAAATAAAAACATATTTTAACAAAATTGAAAAAGTTAGAAATGAATTTTTAGTGGAAATTTCAAAAATTTCCACTAAAATTTTAGTGGAAATTTTTCAAAATTGATGTGAATTTTGAACATTTCCCCCAAAACTTTGTGTTTCTCATTTAAACTCAATATAATTTATAATAAATCTGCAAAATATTTGTGGAGAATTTAAGAAAATATTGCAGGAATAAACTGAAAAACAATTAAAAACTCGCATTTATTACTCCGCCTGTCGCAATAAACCAATGAACCACATGATAAATGAAAATCAATTTCTATTTGCATTATTTATCTTTTTTTTCCTTTTTTTGTCTCTTTCTACCAAAACCTGGATGATAAAAGTCTTTTTTGAAGGACAATGTTGTTACAGGAATTTAATAATTAATGTTTTTGTTTATTTTGGATTCTTGAAATGCCGTCCAGCTGCAGGGTTAAATTCATTGGTCTCAGGATGTTTTTGGTGTGATTTGTGTCTGCAGAGCGTGAGCTGCTGGTCCTGCAGGGTCTGGAGGATTTGGACATCCAGGAGGATCAGAACGCCGTGTTCGTTTGTGAGATCTCTGTGGAAGACGTTCCAGGCGAGTGGTACAAAAACGGCGAGCGGATCCAACCGACCAGCACCGTCAAGATCCGGCAGGAAGGTCAGCATTAACGCTGCCTTTAGAGGTCGAACAGGAAGTAAACGCTGGATGACATCGATCTCATTTTTGACTTCTTTCAGGAACAAAACATTTTCTCCTCATGTGTAACGTGCGATCTGAAGACTCTGGGGAAATCAAGTTTGTTGCCAGAAACGCAGAATCTGTTGCTTACCTGGAGGTGGAAGGTAAGAAATTCAACTTTAATCAGACACATCGGAAAGTCATTGATTATTCAGTCTGATTATTAATTAGTGGTTATAATCTAACTAACTGTTCTTAAACACAATGGTTTCATTAGACCAGGGGTGTCCAAAGTGTGGCCTGAGGGCCATTCGTGGAATGTAAATTCAGAAATAAAACAAACGTGACGCTCCAACATCGTCATTGTTTTTAGTTTGAGATTTTCTGTGGCGAGTTTTTATCATCTTAAAATGCAAACCTAGAGATTTTTTCTTTACTCAGCTTGTTTGTTTTTTTTCATTTTTATCTCATAATTTGTCACGTCACAAACATCCCTCAAAAACAGTCTGTAGAAGAAAATGATTATTTTTGTTCCTGGGATTAACTAAAAACATTTTTTGGTTTTTAAAAATTAGAAAGTTTTTTTTTCTGTCTACAACAGCAAAATAATTTGTGATTCGTCCTTCTCTCCATCCCAGAGCACCAGAGGGAGAAAAGGAGCCAATTTATCACTTTGTGTTCTTTATATCCATTGACATTTTACACATTTTTATGTAGACATGTTTTTATTGTGCTTAATTATATTGATTGTTTCTTTTAGTGTCCCCCGGCTGCTTGGTGCTCTAGTTTTTCTGAAACATCAGAAATAGAACACTGCATCTTTTTTTCTTAAATTTGACACCATTTGTGCTCCAGAGCTCCCGGTGAACATCGTGAAACCTCTGCAGGACACGAGCGCCCTGGAGAAGAGCCGCGTCGTCCTGGACTGCACCGTGTCCAACCCCAGGTGCAGCATCCGCTGGTACAAAGGCAGCAACGTCATCCTGCCCTCCGAACGCTTCGAGATCTGCAGCGAAGGCTGCTACCGCAAACTGATCATCCAGCAGGTGGCGCTGGAGGACGAAGGCACCTACAGCGTGCAGGTCGGAGACTACACATGCTCCGCCAAGCTGACCGTGGAAGGTAAACGATTCAGCTGCAGCACCGGTTTATGTTTTGGAGACAAAGCGTTTAACTGCAACGCTAAGGCACTCAGATGTCAAAATACTAAGACAATTCATGTTCTTTTGTTACTTTTAGATCTTTTATGTGTAATTTAAAGTATATTAAGTGCAGGATTGCGTCTTATAAAACTATTTGCTCAGCCCAGTCTCTCTCAAACTGTGGTCTCCGGACCGCTGCTGCTGCTGCGTGAAAACGACAGTTCATTTACCGCCAGAGTTAGCTTACCGAAGGATTGTGCTTAAAAATATTAATGACTAAAAGAAATGCTGATGACACCAGTGGAAAGAAAATGATTGGATGAATTCATGTCTCAGTTTCTCATGTTGAGCTGCAGAACTTTAGTTTTTAAAACCGTATTATCCTAAGCAGGCAGCAGATCTAAGTCTGCTCTGCTGACATGATGTGACGAGTCGCCGCCACGCCACGCCGTGCCGCCCCACGCCGTGCCCCGCCGCCCCACCCCACGCTGCCCCACGCCGTGCCACCCCACACCGCGCCCCGCCACCCCACGCCGTGCCGCCCCACGCCGCCCCACGCCGTGCCGCACCACGCCGTGCCGCCCCCCGCCGCCCCACGCCGTGCCGCCCCACGCCGCCCCACGCGGCAACTTATTAGAGCTTGGTTTAAGTAAATAATTCCATAATATTGATGAGTACTGGCATCAATAACTTAGAAAGACTTTTATGTTTTTGCAGTGTACATGGTGCTTCTGAAATGGCTGCTTTACAAACATCAGCTAATCTAAATTTAGTTAAAAACAAAAACAAATGCTTTGAAACTGAAAAAAAAGTTTCAAAACTTAAAGAAATGTTCAAAACAACTTTTCAGATTCAACATTTTTTTTTCAGTTAATTTTTTTTTAAGTTTGGCTAAATCAGAGCCAAACTTTTTGGCTCTGATTTAGCTCCATAATTGAGCCTAGGTATCAGAGTATTTTACCTTCTAAAGCTGCAGTCTATAGAAGTTTTTATATATGCTTTAAAATATTTTGAGGCTTTTTCAACAGAAAAATCCAGAAAATGTTGAACCACAAGCAGGAAAATGGAAGGACAGGAGTCAGTTCTCCTGTTGGCCAGTAGGTGTCAGCAGAGCTACACAATGAGACCTGATGCAGCTTTTTGTCACAATTTACCCAGAAATACCTGCAAATCCGGGAGTTTTCTGCACATTTAGAGAACAAAATAAAGCAGCATTTCTCCAGGTAACTCTAATATGAACCTGAAAAACTGGCATTTCGTTTTATAGATCTATATGTTATCTGATTTAATTAGATAACTGTTAATTTTTAAAAACTAAA